GCCATTCTCACTGGGGTTAGGTGATATCTCAGGGTGATTCCGATTTGCATCTCTTTGATGATTAGGAATGATGAGCATTTCCCCCATGTTTGTTAAGCCATTAATCTGTCTTATTCAGAAAAAGTTCTGTTCATGTCTCTTGCCCAGCGATAGCTGGGACTGTTTGCTCTTTTTGTTGTTGATTAATTTGAGGTCTCTATAAATTCTAGTTATCAACCCTTTTTCAGATCCATAACTTGCAAATATCTTTTCCCATTCTGAAGGTTGTCTATTTGCTTTAATTGTTGTGTCCTTAGCTGTGCAGAAGCTTTTTAGTTTAATTAAATCCCATTACTTATTTTTGTTGTTGTTGCCATTCGCAATGGAGTCTTCATAAAATCTTTCTTCAGGCTGATATCATCAAAAGTTTTCCCCACACTTTCTTCCAGGATTTTTATTTTTATTGTTTATTATTTTTTGAGACAGAGCCTAAAGCTGTCCCCCTGGGTAGAGTGCGGTGGCATCACAACTCACAGCAACCTCCAACTCCTGGGCTCAAGCGAGTCTCCTGCCTCTGCCTCCCAAGTAGCTGGGACTACAGGTGCCCGCCACAGCTCTTGGCTATTTTGAGGGGGCGGGGGTGTGTGTTGCAGCCGTCATTGTTGTTTGGCGGGCCTGGGCTGGATTCGAATCCACCACCTTAGGTGTATGTGGCTGGTGCCTTAGCCACTTGAGCCACAGGCGCCGAGCCCAGGATTTTTATTGTTTTGTGCCTAAGATTTAATTTTTTTATCTATTGTGAATCAATTTTTGTAATTGTGAGAGGTGCAGGTTCAGTTTCAGTTTTTTACTAGTGGTCATCCGGTTCTCCCAGCACCATTTATTGAATAGGGATTCTTTTCCCCACTGTATGCCTGAATGGTATCTTTGGACACAGTGACAAAGAGATGTATAATGGAGGCCTCCCAGAAACCCTGACTTCACTCTTAATTCAAATGCCCCAATTTTTTTTGAATATTTTATCTGCTCCTCACCCCCAGGGCAATTGCTCTTCTCCCAGAAACTCTGGGTTCACTCTTAATTCCAACGCCCCATTTTTTGGGAAATTTTATCTGCTCCTGACCCCAGGGACAATCGGTCTTCTCTAGTCTCACCCTCACGACCGTCATTTCCAGGTCAGCTGCCTGCCTGGACCTGCAGCCTGCCCCTTGGATCGGCTCCCACAGAGGACAGGAGCAAGGCGAGCGGGAGTGGAAGAGGCGGTGGGGAGCAGGGACTTGTCCCCAAAGCTGCATCGAACCGGGTGCGGGAAGCACAGAGGAGCTGGATGTCGGCCAAAAGAAATTACCTGGCGATCTGGACTTTGTCCATGACCTCTGAATCCAACCGCTTTTTTCTGTCGAACATCTCCTCCCCCAAGGTGACAGAAATCTGCTCCCGATTCCGACAGAGTTGATAGCCAGGCGACACGTCGATCACTTCCTGGGCAGGGGAAGGTAGGATCGAATCGCAGACTCGCGCGGAGATTCCTCCCAATCGGCTCCTTTTGCTACCGCCTCACTCGCACCTCCAACCAGCGACCCGAGCGCGGGTCTCCGGGGCGCAGGTCCTCCCCGCGCCCTCCCTCTGTTACGTCTGGCCCTCGTCCCTGAGATTCGCCCCCGACACTCGGCGGAGCTCCTCGGGCCTGGGGAGCTCACGCCCGCGTCCCCCCTTCGGGGCAGCGGGGGCCGCGGCCTCTGGAAACCGCTTAGGGTTGGGAACCACACAGGCCCCAGTTTAAATCCTGCTCTGCCAACATCCAGTCGCTACTCAACTGCTCTGTGCCTCAGTTTCCTCGTCAGAAAATGGGGGTAATAATTCTTCAAAGGGCGAGGAAGAAAGCTATTGTGAGGAAAAAGCCACAATAGCATATGAGAAACGAGAGCACAGTTGCCAAAAACGACCTCGCAAACATATAGCTAGTTTCACCTCCTTCCCCCTTTAGAGACCAAGCGGGGAGCCCTGGCAGGGCCACTGCTGCTGGGACAAGGGTGAGGCTGTAGCTGGGACAGCTGCCACCTGTCACTGTCACCTCTTCTCCCCGGCGCCGTGGCCGGGTACCCCCCCGCCCCCAGGAGGGGACCCCCCCACCTGCCGCCCGCCTCCAATCTGGCTCCCCTGGAAGGACGATTATATTTTTGTTTATTTTTTGACCTGGTCACTAAAGGACTGTAAGATCCTTGTTGAAAAAGAAAAGGAGAAGGAGAAAAAAAGAGAAGGAAGAAAGAAAGAAGGGAAACTAAAAAAATAATAATAATAAAAAAGAAAGAAGGAAAACTAGATAGAACATAGTAAAAAAAAAAGTACCAATAAAATCCAGCAGAGGGAGCTTTTTCTAAACTGTAAATCTCACCTAGTCCTACCCTGTGCCAGACCAGTAAAGGCTCCCGACGCAGAGAGATCAGGTAGGTGTCAAGATTCTCTTGGATCTGAATCAGGAGAAAGAGACTCCTGTCCCTGCTCCCCTCTGGAGCCCTGGCAGCCCCTCCTTCGTGGCTTCCAAGTGATTCCTGCAGCTGGGTGTCAGCTGTACCCTGGCCTGGACTAGTTGTCATTGCCTGGTTTTCCTGGGATACTCTTTTTGTCCCGCCCAAGGCCACAGAGAGTGGCAAATGCCTCCTCTGGGGTCTGGCCAAGCTGAGTTCAAGTCTTGGCTCTTCACTTACCAGCCACATACAATGTGCAGTAGTAAGGACACCTCCTCCTAGGACCATTGCCAAGACTCAACAAGGTACGTGTGTGTCAAAGGCCCATGTATGCCCGTGGTGGGTGCTCAGTAATCTTAGTCCCACTGCCCTCTTCCCATTTGTACTCACATAAGGTGATTTATTGCTCTCTTGCTTTCCTGTATCGAATTTCACTCTGCAAGAGAAAGGCATGCTCAAAAAGCAGCTGGAGACCAAAAAGAAGTTCAGAGCTTGGGAGAGTCACCCTGATGCTGCCATGATCTGACTTCTGCTTGCTGGGCTCTGGTCTTTTGACCGCTGAGGGGATACCCAGGGAGTTACGAGCTCCCTAAAACAGGGCCTGGGAAGGTCCAGGGAGGCAGAAATGTTCTCTTGTGATGTTGGGGCATGTTCTGTTTTGGAGGAGTATAAACCAGCCAGAGGGACTCCTCCATACTCTCCCTGCATCAAGGCTCTGTGAGTGAGGTGACACCCACCATATACCATACACACCCACATGCACACTCAATTCGGAGGACTGCATGTGGCTTTCTTTGTTGGGGAATAAAACATTCAAATATTCCAAACAGCGAAATTGTATTCTGTTAAGACTCAAAATATTTGCTTAATCTGGTTTTCATTCAAGTCTTTATATATGCTACATATAAAATGAAGACCATATGTTTGCACTCATAGTGGCCTTTTCCTCCATCTTCAAAGCCATCAATAGCACCACTCAGACATCTCCCTCTCTGACCCTGATGCTGACTTCCCCTTTCATGTACAAGGTAAGACCTTTGTGATTACATCAGCCCCAGATAATCCAGGGTAATCTCTTTAACTCAAGGTCAGCTGAATAGCACCCTTGATTCCATCTGTAACCTTAATTTCTCTTTCATAGTAACATGCCATATTCATAGTTTCCAGGCCCTAGGGCGAGGACATTTGGGGTGCCATTGTCTCGCCCCATATCCATCACCTCGTTATTTTCTCTGAGTCTGTCTCCTTCTTTTCTTGCTCTCTCCACTCTTGCCATTTGACTTCTGCCTTCCTTGGCAGACTCAGCAAGTCCCCATTCGGAGGCCTTTGTACTTGCTGCCCCAGGCACCCTCATGGATGCTGTGCCCCATTGCCTTCACACACGGACTTGCCCTGGCTCCTCCATAAAATCACAGCCCCACTCTCTCAGCCTCCACCCTGGTACTAGCATAGTTTTTCTACATGGCACTTGTCACCTCAAGTGCTAATATCTTCACGGTCATCTCCTGCCTCCCCTGGGCCTGCTCCCAATGTCGGCTCCAGGACAGTGAAGACTTTATTGTGTTTCTGGCTGTTTCCTCCGCATATGAACCAGTGCCTAACAAATGATCCATGCTCAATAAATACGTTCCAAAAAGAGCAATACAAAGACCTGAAACTGAGGTGTATTTCTAAGCTTGCAAAATGTGAGTAAAAATTTTAATATGTGATCAAACCAAGATGCAATCTATAGAAAATCTTAGACACAGGAAGGGTGAGCCACCACCATCATGAGTGCCAGTCACAGGTGTCAGGCACTGGGCGCCAGAATCTATGTGTGGGGTCTGAATTTTGTGGGAAATCACAACAGATTCTGACAATTCTCTAATGTCCCTACCAGCAGTTCAAGTCAGGTAGGACTGCGAAGGCCATGGAGGAGATTATTTTATTCACTTGCCAAACCATGCCTGCCTTGAGGGACATAAAAATACTTACTTTGGGGGAATACAAGGTTTTGTTGGTTGGACGCAGCTGTATTTTTCTAAAGCTGGTAGAAGGGGAGTTGGCCTGAAAGGGGAAAAAAATAACTAAAATAAGAAAATTGGAAATTAGAAACCTGTTTTAACACTCCCAGATTAAGAATGTTCCCACAGTGACTCCAAATCGGAATATATGATCTGGCACATGAAATCTTTAAAATCTGAAGTCTTTAAAACCTCAGGCGCAAGGCTTTGGAATCTGTTCACTGTTCCATGAAGTCCCTAGTCCGGCAGCATAGCTTGTGCTCCAGTTCCCAAAGCTCTTTGTCCCATACAGAGAGGGCAGCTGCACTTCCCCCTATGGCACTGACTCTGAGTCTTTCTCATTTAAAATGACATTAAGTGGAGGAAGGACTAGCAAGATGAATGTTGCAGCCAACAGGCCGGCAGGGAGAGCAAGGGGAAGCTAGGCTTTCTGGCCCACCTGGGATTTTGCAGCCAAGCTTACTGTTTCAGAAATCTTATAAAAGAAAGCAAGCTCTAAGTGGAAACCATGCCCCCTATATTTACCCCACCCCAGATAATTCTTACTTGGACCTCCTTGCAAGGGTCTTGTTTGGTGGTCGAGGAGTCTTGATTAGCTTCCGTGGTCCCGAGTTCCAGGGGTCCCAGCAGGTGCAGTAAATAAGAGGGTTGAAATTCATGGCCCAAGGTCAAAGGCAGTTTTGGCGGCTAAATCGGGGGCTATTGGTGAAATGGGAAAACAACAGAGAGAGTTAAATCATTTAGAATCAAGTAAAAGTATTTAGAGACAAATTGGGAAGGACCCAAGGAATTCTCAAAGAGCAATGGTGAACTCCATAAGCTATTGATCTGATTCAGGGTCTTGACTATAGAATAACAACTTACCTCCTGCTACCCAGTAGACTTAACTTGAAAGCAATTTAAAATTTGCCATCATTGAGTGCTTACTGTGAGCCGGGGACACACCAAATGCTCAATTATTGTCTCAATTTTGTGGATGG